CTGTAAAAAAAAAAGAGAGAGACGAGAATCAAAAACTGAACTCACACACCTACACAAAACACACTTGCGTTCAGGCACCAGAGCTGAATGTTACGCTCCTGACATGCTGCTATTTATCACACACACGCATATACTCTGCACAAGCAAACCACAGATGTAGACGGAAAATGTAAAAGTTCTGAAGCAAGGAAATAAATGTGGCTTGCATATGTAAATCTTACTGTCGGGATGTTTTCCATGACTACTAAAAATCTCAAATTATTATGCAAGTTACTTCACTGAATTTGTTTTTGATAATAAAACAATAATAAAACTCTGCCCCTACTGAATATTCATATTTATTTGCTAAGCCACGCCCCTTGTTCTTTAGTTTACTGTGATTTAAGATAAGAGGAGGAGTAAAAAATAAAACCCTGTCGCCTATTCAATATTCATTTTTCATTAGGAAATGCATGTGAAATATGCTTAGCCACGCCCCTTGAATCGTTTGTTTACTCTGAGCTAAATATAAAAGTGCAAAAATAAAACCCCGCCCCTACTCAATATTCACTTTCAGTAGGAAATACATGACAAAGATGCTTAGCCACACCTCTTCAACAATTACTTTCTTGTGAGTTAAAAATAAAAGATAGCAAAAATAAAACTCCACCTCCTACTCAGTATTCATTTATATATACTTAACCACATCCCCTACTCAAGATCCGCCCACTACTCAATATTCATATTTATATGGTTAGCCATGCCACTTCAACCGTTAGTTTACTGTGATTTTAAAATAAGAGCTCAAAAACAAAACCCTGCCTTCACTCAATATTCAAATAGAAAGAAAGACATGGTAAATCTGCTTAATCACGCCCCTTCAACCATTAGTTTACTGTGAGTTAAAGATAAGAGGAGTTCTAAAATAAAACTCCACCTCCTACTCAAAGACCATTTTTATAAGCTTAGCCACGCCCACTCAACTAATTCTTTATTGTGAGTTAAAGATGAGAAGTGAAAAAAATAGAACCCGCCCCCAACTCAATATTCATTTTAGTTTAAAATAAAAGCAGGTGCACAAAATTAAAACCACGCCCCCTGCTCATTATTTATTTATAGTAGAAATGCATGCAAAATAAGCTTAGCCACGCCCCCTCAACTGTTTTTTACTCTGAGCTAAATATAAAAGTGCAAAAATAAAACCCCGCCCCTACTCAATATTCACTTTCAGTAGGAAATACATGACAAAAATGCTTAGCCACACCTCTCCAACAATCACTTTCTTATGAGTTAAAAATAAAAGATAGCAAAAATAAAACTCCACCTCCTACTTAGTATTCATTTTTATATACTTAACCACATCCCCTACTCAAGATCCGCCCACTACTCAATATTCATATTTATATGGTTAGCCATGCCACTTCAACCGTTAGTTTACTGTGATTTTAAAATAAGAGCTCAAAAACAAAACCCCGCCTTCACTCAATATTCAAATAGAAAGAAAGACATGGTAAATCTGCTTAATCACGCCCCTTCAACCATTAGTTTACTGTGAGTTAAAGATAAGAGGAGTTCTAAAATAAAACTCCACCTCCTACTCAAAGACCATTTTTATAAGCTTAGCCACGCCCACTCAACTAATACTTTATTGTGAGTTAAAGATGAGAAGTGAAAAAATAGAACCCGCCCCCTACTCAATATTCATTTTAGTTTAAAATAAAAGCAGGTGCACAAAATTAAAACCACGCCCCCTGCTCATTATTTATTTATAGTAGAAATGCATGCAAAATAAGCTTAGCCACGCCCCCTCACCTGTTTTTTACTCTGAGCTAAATATAAAAGTGCAAAAATAAAACCCCGCCCCTACTCAATATTCACTTTCAGTAGGAAATACATGACAAAAATGCTTAGCCACACCTCTTCAACAATCACTTTCTTGTGAGTTAAAAATAAAGGATAGCAAAAATAAAACTCCACCTCCTACTCAGTATTCATTTATATATACTTAACCACGGCCCCTACTCAAGATCCGCCTCCTACACAATATTAATTTTTATATGGTTAGCCACGCCCCTACAACCATTAGTTTACTGTAAATTAAAAATAAGAGCTCAAAAAACCCCGCCCCCACTCAATTTTCATTTACAGACTGAAATAAATGTTAAATCTGCTTCACCACGTCCCTTAAACCATTAGCTTACTGTGAGTTAAAGATAAGAGGAGTTCTAAAATAAAACTCCACCTCCTACTCGATCATTTTTATATGCTTAGCCACGCCCCCTCAACCATTAGTTTATTGTAAGTTAAAGATAAGTACAAAAATAGAACCCTCCCCCTACTCAATATTCATTTTAAAGATATAAGCAGGAGCACAAAATAAAACCACGCACCCTACTAAATATTTATTTTAAGTAGGAAATAAATGCTCAAAAACAAAACCCCGCCCTTACTCAATATTCATATTCAGCAGGAAATACATTTTAAATCTGCTTAACCACGCCCCTTCAACCATTCGTTTACAGTGATTTTAAAATAAGAGCTCAAAAATAAAACCCCACCCCCACTTAATATTTTATATTCAGCAAGAAATAAATGTTAAATCTGCTTAACCACGCCCCTTCAACCATTCGTTTACAGTGATTTAAAAATAAGAGCTCAAAATTAAAACCCCACCCCCACTTAATATTTTATATTCAGCAGGAAATACATGTTACATCTGCTTAACCACGCCCCTTTAACCATTCATTTACAGTGATCTAAAAATAAGAGCCCAAAAATAAAACCACAACCCCATTCAATATTTATATTCAACAGGAAATAAATGTTAAATCTGCTTAACCACACCCCTTCAACCATTAGTTTACTGTGAGTTAAAGATAAGAGGAGTTCTAAAATAAAACTCCACCTCCTACTCAATAATCATTTTATATGGTTAGCCACGCCCCCTCAACCGTTAGTTTACTATGAGTTAAAGATGAGAGGGGCAAAACTAGAACCCACCCCCTACTCAATATTCAATTCAGTAGGAAATAAATGTGAAATATGCTTAGCCACACCCCCTCAACCATTAGTTTATGATGAGTTAAAAAAAAGAACTCAAAAATAACCCCCCCCCCACCCCCCCACTCAATATTAATTTTACAAGGAAATAAATGTGAAATTTGCTTAACCACGAGTTAAAGATTAGAGGAGGAGAGCTAAAAATAAAACCATGTCACTACTCAATATTCATTTTTATATGTTTAGCCACACCCCTTTATCTATTAGTTTACTGTGAGTTAAAGATAAGAGGATTGCTAAAATAAAACTCCACCTCCACTTCCTACTCAATATTCATTTTTTATGCTTAGCCACGCCCTCTAAACCATTAGTTTACTTTGAGTTAAAAGTGAGAAGTGCAAAAATAGAACCCGCCCCTACTTAGTATTCACTTTAGTAGGAAATTAATGTGAAAAATGCATAGCCACGCCCCTTTAACCATTAATTTACCGTGAGTTAAGGATAAGAGGATTGCTAAAATAAAACTCCACCTCCTACTCAATATTCATTGTAATGCTTAGCCACGCACCCTCAACCATTAGTTTACTGTGATTTAAAAATAAGAGCTCAAAAATAAAACCCCGCCCCTACTCAATATTCATTTTCAGTAGGAAATGATTGTGAAATATGCTTAGCCACAACCAATGAACCATAAGTTTACTGTGATTTAAAGGTAAGAGGAGTGCTAAAATAAAACTCCACCTCCTACTCAATATTCATTGTAATGCTTAGCCACGTCCCTCAACAATAAGTTTACTGTGAGTTAAAGATGAGAAGTGCAAAAATAGAACCCGCCCCCAACTTAATATTCACTTTTAATAGGAAATTAACGTGAAATATGCATAGCCACGCACCTTCAACCATTAGTTTACTGTGATTTAAAAATAAGAGCTCAAAAATAATACCCCGCCCCTACTCAATATTCATTTTCAGTAGGAATCGATTGTGAAATATGCTTAGCCACAACCAATGAACCATAAGTTTACTGTGAGTTAAAGGTAAGATGATAAATGCAATGAATTATACAAACCAACAATGTGCCCCCGCTAGTAAACAAAGGTACACATCTGAAACATAGATTTGTGAGTGGGTTATGACCCTCGGCCAGTGTTTTTGGGCTGTGTTGACCCTGTAACCTCAACTCGACACTTCTGATCCCAATAGACTACAGCAATGATTTTCAATGGCCACAATCAAGCATCAGTCATTTTCTCTCATGGGTGAATGGAGTGTACACACAACAGACTTTCAGCATGTGGAATTAAAGCAGACTTCATAACACATATAAGGACATTATTTAGGGCTTCTGTTTATATTAGAATATTATGTCATCTATTTTATTGTTTTGATGTTATAATAATAATATTAATAATAATAATAGTAATAATAATAAAGAAAAGTAATAATAAATAATATTACTACTACTACTACTACTACTAATAATAATAATAATAATAATAATAATAATATTAAATAAAAGTAATAATAAATAATATTAATACTACTACTACTACTACTACTAATAATAATAATAATAATAATAAATAAATAAATAATTAAATAAAAGTAATAATAAATAATATTAATACTACTACTACTAATAATAATAATAATAATAATAAATAAAAGTAATAATAAATAATATTAATACTACTACTACTACTACTAATAATAATAATAATAATAATAATAATAATAATAATAATAATAATAATAATAATAATAAAAGTAATAATAAATAATATTACTACTACTACTACTACTACTACTACTAGTAATAATAATAATAATAATAATAATAATAATAATAATAATAATAATAATAATAGTAATAATTTCATTTAATTTAATTTAATTTCATTTCATTTTCTTGTCGGCTTAGTCCCTTTGATAATCCTGGGTGACAGCAGAATGAACCGCCAACTTATCCAGCCCATTTTTACGCAGCGGATGCCCTTCCAGCTGCAACCCATCTCTGGTAA